ATCCGGCTCGCAGACGTGGACAAACTGTCGTCTGGGCAGGTGGAGTTGCTGGTCACTCCGCAGACGGTCTACCGGGTACGTGGTTGTTTGTCTGTTTGTTTGTGTGTTTGTTTGTGTTTGTGTGTGCTGGTCACTCCACAGACTGTGTACCGGGTGAGTGGTTGTTTGTATGTTTGTTTGTGTGTTTGTTTGTGTTTGTGTGTGCTGGTCACTCCACAGACTGTGTACCGGGTGAGTGGTTGTTTGTATGTTTGTTTGTGCATGTGTCTGTTTGTTTGCTGGTCACTCCGCAGACGGTCTACTGGGTACGTGGCTGTGTGTATGTTTGTTTGTTTGTTTGTGTGTTTGTGTTTCTGTGTGTTTGTGTGTTTGTGTGTGTGATTGTTTGTTTGTTTGTGTGTGTGTGTGCTGGTCACTCCGCAGACTGTCTACCGAGTGAGTGGTTGTGTGTCTGTTTGTTTGTGTTTGTTTGTGTGTTTGTGTGTATGTTTCTGTGTGTGTTTGTGTGTTTGTTTGTGTGTCTGTTTGTTTGTTTGCTGGTCACTCCGCAGACGGTCTACCGGCTGAGTATTTGTGTGTCTGTTTGTGTGTGTGTTTGTAATGTATGTGTGTGTGTGTGTATGTAGATATATTTTGGGTGTGTGTTTGTGTGTATGCTAGAGAGAGACAATATTCTGTTTCCTCCGTCTGTCTGTGTGTTTATGACGTTAATGCAATAATTCTGCACAAACTTCCACGTCTGTTGTTAGACTCTCAATACCTCGCTTACATTCCGAATTGCAATAATAGTTAAGTCAAGCTTAAATCAGATGTCGCGTCTGAAATAGATCCACCACCAGATTTTAAATTGACGTACAGATGAAGCAATGCGACCATTTCAATCACGCCCGAGAAGATCAAAGAACTCATCATTGTTTGAGGAACAGAAGATTGAGTCTCTCGCAATAACTGGCCGCTTATTGCAGGGAAAGGGCAAGGTGGCGATAGACAGACACGGCGAAGGGATAAGAAGGTATAAGAGGGATAAGAAGAATGAGCAGTGCAAAAGAGCCATGTCGGGCGTGAGCGAAGTTGTCCTCAGAGCCGGGGAACAATAGATGGGATGCACCCAGGCGGGCGGTCTAATCCTAGATCAGTTACAGGCTTGATTGATGGGCCAGGGATTATGAGACCTGGTCTGTGGGCCCATCTCAGGCCAATCAAACTGGGTGCTCTGGTGGTGGAGGGGGGAGGGGGGA